GTAAAATTAAAGGCTCTTGGCTTCTTCCTTCATTTTTTAATGAAGCATAATGTTTGACATAAATTTTAACCTCTGGCCACATAGTCAGTTATGCTTATTATCCTGTGTGTATTATGATGCTGTCAGAAGTTGGCTGCTGATGGCCAGCTCCAAAATTTAGATGATAGAGATAAAATTGGTAGTTAATATATGTTGAGTACCAGGTCAAAAACTCCATAAGGCACTTTACATTGTGGTGACTGGTTCGTGTAACAATTCTCCAGGAGGGATGGTTAATAGTCCCATTTCACAGATGCAGAGTTATGTGTCTTTCTCGACCTGACAACACCTGTCACCTGCCAAATGAATAGAGAGCTATGCTGTAGTCTGGGAATGAGTGATCCTTGAATGAAGAGCACTTCCTACTAGTATTCTGACTTTTGCTACTATGTGTCTGTTACTATTTGACAGCTCTCATTTTCACCTGTCCAGATTTAAGCATGTTTAATGAGATAGAGCAGAGGCAAAGGTGAGACTGGGATCTTCCCTTATTGATAGACAGTAAATATAATCCAATTGGCTAAGGCCTCCTCTCTCCTTTTTTGTTTCTTCACTTTGCCTCCACTACCCTGAGGTTGAAAATTGAGTTTCCATTTAGTTTAAGCCTTTTGTCACTCATTGTTTAATTTTCCTTCCATTTTCCTCTTCTACCTGTGACAAATTCGGCATAGTTAGGGGAAGAAACAGTGATGACAGTGACGGCCTCAAAAGGAAAAGAGGGTGAATGAGTAGGAGCAAATAAGTACCTCAGACCAGTATATAAACAAGTTCATTTGTAGTATAAAAGAACATTATGCCTTTGGCTTGAAAACTGCCTTTCCAATTTATGAGCATGTTTAGAATTATGTAAGTACAGTGTCTTCATAACAAGCGCAACACCTCTTACCCAAAGAATGCAAAACGCTTTGCAAACAGTAGAGCTCACAATTCCCCTGTGACCTGGGGACTTATATGTATTTTCATGCATTATTTTTTATAGATTGAGAAGTGAACTTGAGACCTACCAATCTGTCCACGTTGACAAAATAGATCTAATACTAAACTCTTAATTCCAGCTTCCTGTCTTCTTAGAAGTAGACCACACTGAAAGAGTAATCTTATGTCAAGGGTAGCAATTTTCTCTCTCTCTTTTTTTTTTTTTTAAAGAAAACACAAATTACATAGTAGATATATTTGCATAAAGGTAGATCTTGAAAACATTTAATTAAGACAATGGTATCTATTTCCACAAAAAAAATAGAAAAGCCAGATCTCTACTCCACTGAATTTAAAAATTAGAGCAGCATTTTACAATTAAAAATGATTATTATTTTGCATTCTGCCATTTGCCTTTACATGAAGAATGCCTGAATTCAGAATGGAAAATATTTCCTTTTGAAAAGTGCAGAGGAAAGAATTGTTATAAAGCAAATGTGTTGAGAATGTATGTAGATATGAATTTTAAGTAAAACAAGTGGGATGTATGTGAGCATATCTGCATTTGTGTTGCAGATAAAACCGATTTTGAAGGTTGAGAGACATGACGATACTTGTTAGGTATGAGGGAGACAAGACCAGAGGCGCCGGGAAGCTTGACTACCGTGGAGTGCCTAGTTGAGACTTGTCTTTGCCCCATGGCCTGCAGCGCTTATGTAGAAATTGGGGATGCTTTTACTCGTTCCAAAGCCTAACCTGATCAGACCTGCCCAGGTTGGAGTTTGGGAAAAAAAGTGTTTGAAGTAAACAGGAAAATTACTCACCTTAATGATGTGTCTTACTGGCACTGACAGCACTTTGATAGTCTGACAGTCTTTTTTAAGTTTTGGGAGGAGAGACGGGGGAAATTATTGATATGATTTTTTGAAAACGCAGATTCTTGTGCTTATGCACTTGCTAGTAAGGTGGAAAAAACGGACTTTGCCCCATTTACAGCTATGGACTCGCCTTTCCTCCTAATGAAATCTGTATCAGGAATTTTCCATTAGGAATTTCAAAAAGAAAAGAAAAGAAAAGACGTTACTGTTTATTTTGTGTACTTGTTGTGCCATGTATCTCCACAGTTGAACTGTGGCTGTTCACACAGAACAGATTCTTCCTAGCGCTTGGGCTGTGGGTTCCCAACCTTGTAGGTTGCTTTCATCTGTCTGGTGATTAAGACCATAAACCAAGTGGTGTGATGAGAGAGTTTGGTGCTCTCGACAGAGCAAGCACACCCTTTTTTCATAGGAAGCACAATTCTTAAATCTCCGCACCTAAATCTTGGCTTAGGATGCATCAGATTTTTGAAAAAAGCAATTATATATGTTTTGATATTTTGTTGAAACATAATAGTTGTTGGTTTCATATGGTTTTCTTCCTTTTCTTTCTTTCTTTTTTTTTTTTTGTCTTTGCTAAATGTCAAATGGTACATTTTTTTTTAATCTTGAAGACTGAGAACTGGGTCATATGTCTCTAAACATTTAAATCTTCACTGAGACAGGGAAGAGTGGCCTGATCTTATATATGTTTTGATATTTTGTTGAAACATAATAGTTGTTGGTTTCATATGGTTTTCTTCCTTTTCTTTCTTTTTTTTTTTTTTTTTGTCTTTGCTAAATGTCAAATGGTACATTTTTTTTTAATCTTGAAGACTGAGAACTGGGTCATATGTCTCTAAACATTTAAATCTTCACTGAGACAGGGAAGAGTGGCCTGATCTTACGGAATGAGTCCTGAGAGACAAAAATGCTGGGTTTTTCATGCAGTCTCTAATTCACTTTGACCTTGGTGGAGGGAGTCAAATCTCCTAGTTTGAGATCCCACACATGTAAGGCTATAGGGTTTAAGGATTAAAATCTTTTTAACTTTATATTCTCAGATTCTGTATAGTTTATTAAACTAGATGGAGGGTACTTTATACTGTCTAAAAGGACATAGATGAATAGTTATACTTTATAAAAATTAAACTCCTAATGATAAAAGACTAAATAGGGAGATAATAAATTTTAGGTTATGAAGGCATGTAAAACAAAAGATGTCTGCCAGCTTCCTCCCTTTAGTTCTCTGACTGAGAATAACTTTATCATTTTTACTTTTTGACCTGTGTCCTAATTGTAAATGAATCTGGTGCCCAGTAAAATTAAATGAGTAGGAATATTTACCATGGTGTGTATATACCAGCCTCCTAGTATCTCAGATATAATTAACATAATGAAAGCATTGCAATACATTCTTACCGCATGCTCAGTTCCCGTCCTGTCAGCAACTGTTTGCCTACAACTAAAGCAAGTCTGGGTTCAAAGCATTTTCAAATGTTCCGTAAAAGTGGGGAAGGCAGCTAGGCGCAGTGGCTCACGCCTGTAATCCCAGCACTCTGGGAGGCCAAGGTGGGTGGTCAGGAGTTCAAGAACAGCCTGGCCAACATAGTGAAACCCCATCTCTACTAAAAATACAAAAAATTAACTGGGCATTGTGGCAGATGTCTGTAATCCCAGCTACTTGGGAGGCTGAGGCAGGAGAATCACTTGAACTCAGGAGGAGGAGGTTGCAGAGAGCCAAGATTGCACCACTGCACTCCAGCCTGGGCCACAGTGCGAGACTCCATCTCGAAACAATAATAATAATAATAATAATAATAGTAATAATAATGTGGGGAAGGCAAGATTTGGCTCACTAGTCAAACGTTCCTATCAGTGGGTCTGTCTTTGAAGCAAGTACTCAGAGTGCCTATTCCTTTGATCACATGGGTAGTGGTTTATTTCCATGAGTATTTGCTGTTTTCAAGAGATTTCACTTTGGGTTTTATCCATATTCCACATTCAGGAAACTGTTAATTTTGGAAGAAGAGATTGTTTTTACTTGGTTCTTCTAAGGAAATTAATCAAATGTACATGTGCAACTTAAAATCAAAGAATCCCTGTTTTAAGAGGAAATTTTCTTATTTCAATTGGCAAACAATATGAAACTGAATATACCCAAAGTGTTGGAGGTTTACAAACATGATCAGCACTTGTTAATGACCATTTTCTCCTAAGAAAATGGAATGCTACCTTCTAGCATGGGGACTAGTAGGCAGTATTTCTGTGTTTGCCAGCATTAGAAAGTATAACCCTTATAGGGTTGGGCAAAGCAAAGCATTTTTGATTTGTAACCTGTAGAAATGATTATGTTGTATTATTTGGTTATTTAATATAATTTGGTTAATAATTCTCATCCATCTAACAGAAACTTAAGAATTGGTATCATCCTGCTGATTTGGTTTTGGTAACGTCTCTCTTCCCTAATTTTAATATCCCTGTTTCTTGGCAAACCCATCCATATACCTACCTGTTGTTCAACTGGTGTGATGAGCCCTATCAGTGCTCCTAGACATTTTCTTTTCCAACTCTTCCTCTTCAGTGTCAGGCAGAAGGATCTTTCTAACACTCACCTCAGTTCATGGATCGCTGATGGTCCATTGTTGGTGACTGCATGATGACCTCTAAGCGTGTCACACTCTGATCAAAGGGTTTGTATTTGGCCCAATTCCCCATGGCTAACAATAATCCCTTTCTGTTTGGAAAATGTCTTATATTTTTCAAAACACACACATGTATGTATTATCACATTTAATCCTCATAACAAACCTGTCACATTGGCAGGTATTATTCTCACTTCTCAAATGCAAAGTTATGTAACCTTTCTTGAGATTATACCTCAGTTTGGAAAGTAGGGGAATGAGCCTTCTGCCTCTGTGAGTGCCGTGTTCACAGTGCAGGACGCTTCCAAGGATGTATACTCTTCCCAACAGCCCAAGGTGGTGGTTCGCAGTCAACAAAAGATGATTTTTGCCTTATTTTCCCTTCTGCATGCCTTGTCTCCTGCTATTTCCTCTGTTCAAAGCTTTTCTCTCTCTCTTTCCTCTCATTCCTGCCTACCAAAATTATGTCATATAATTTGGTTATTTAATGTAATTTGGTTAATAATTCTCAATCTATCTACCAGAAACTTAAGAGTTGGTATCATCCTGCCAATCTACCTTGAAGATTGGCAAACTGTTAATAACTATTGAATATAGATCATGAGCATTTGGAATTAAATTTGAAATTTCCAATAATAGAAATTTTAAGAAATTTCTATTTATCCTTTCTAGCTAGATTGACAGATTTAGCAAATAAAAACCAAGGATGTCAGTTAAATATGAATTTCAAATAAACCATAAAAATGTTTAGCATAAGGGAATCCCATGCAATAGTTATTACTTTTGTTGTATTTTGTTTTGTTTTCTTGAGACAGGGTCTCCTTCTGTCACCCAGGCTGAGGTGCAGTGGTACAATCACGGCTCACTGCGGCCACTACCTCTCAGGCTCAATCAGTCCTCCCACCTCAGCTTCCTGATGGCTAATTTATGTTTTTGGGTTTTTTTTTGTTTTTTGTTTTTTTTCTTTAGGGATAGGGGTTTTGCCATGTTGCCCAGGCTGGTCTCGAACTCCTAGGCTCAAGCATTCCTCCCGTCTTGGCCTCCCAAAGTGCTGGGACTACATGCATGAGCCATTGTGCCTGACTAATACTCGTTACTTATGCTGAAAAACTTCATTGCTTTTACAATTAAATTTTAGCTAGGTTTGCTGGATGTTATCTGGTAACCCCATTCCCAGCTCAATCACCAACTCTCTAAGCAGAAGTAAATTTTTCATCTCTCTTGCCGTAGTGAGGTCAGGATTAGTGAGGTGGCAAGATTAAATATGAGCTAAGCTATGACACTTGTTTTCCACAGTCTCCTGAGCCCCACTCTCTCCTTTTTTCTTTCTTCCACCCTACCTCTCTTCCTCTTTCCTATTTATTCTTCCTCCTTTTTTGTTATTGTTGTGAGTGTCTTAACCTGCTTCCTGCCTTCCTTTATATTCCTAGTAATGTTTCAAATTTATTGGCTTGGACAGCTTCTCATAATAGGTTTGCTTTTATTATTTTTCTTGTTATTACTAAAACACATTAATAGATAGATTCTAACTCTGTGGCACAACTAAGACAGTTAGGTTACATTCTTTTCCGTGTTGGGGCTAATTAGAATATTAAGTTTACAAAGAATGCAGAAAAAGCGAACAAGATGAAGCACGTTTCCGTCTTAAACAAATGAACTCTAAAGAAATAGGAAGTAACATGATGACAAGCTTTTAAGAGGTGTTGCAAGTAGAGGAAAGGGTTTGTTTAAATCTCACGCCAAGCACCCCCTACACCTAGCCCCAGCTAACACAGATGCTTATATATTAGTGGCCCACACAGTACCTTATTATCAACCATGGAAATGGATGTCTCAAAATTCTTTTAGTTCTTAGAGATTCCCTTAAAAAGCAGAGGAGAGCAAAAGTTTAAAACTTGGTTTAAAGGTATTAAAAAGCAAATCGGATCTAATTTATTAAGTTACGCTCTTCCTTTTTGGCAGTGTCTTACTACCCCTAGGATCTCAGTATCTCAGCATATTGGTTTCCTGTACTTATTCAGCATAAAGAAACTCAGCAATTTGCCTATAGGGTAGTAGGGCCTTGAAAGAAATTATCTCATTATTGTTCACTTGAAACCTTGGGGGCAGCTGTAGTTGAAGGGACCTTAGAGTCCTTAAACTTCTCAGCATTTGCGAGTTCACTTTTAAAGTGCACTAAAAAGCAACTGGTATCCTAAGCTAAAAAAAAAAAAAAGAAAAAGAAAGAAAGAAAAAAGAAAAAGTAGATTTAAGGATACCAATGAGCATGGACTCTGTTTACGTTCTGAAATCCATTTGCTATTCATTTTCCTCATTTTTAAATGCTATTATATTTACACCTGGGCATCCATTTCTCTGAAGAGAAAAGAATGAAGGATCTAAAATGTCAGAGTAACAGTGATTCTCAGCAATTATTGTTGGTACTCTTTCACGAAGAGATTTAAAGCTCTTTGCTTACCTGACTTAATTCCTGCCGGAAGGACAGTACAGAGGGATTACGGCTTAAATATTGCAGTTAGAAGCACAAAGTGGAACCTGGACTTCTCCGACCTTGGAAGAAAAATAATGAAGTGTGGCTCCTATAAAATATCATAGGAACTTCGGACATAGAATGGAGCATCCATTTATAGTGATATAAGTCCCAGTATTGGAATAGGCCTTCTATTTTTATTTCAATCTGCCTCCCCTTTATTTTCTTTGTTTTCTGATTCCCCCTCAAAACTTATCTTCTTATACGGTAATATTAGCTGGTACCTTAATCAAAGATTGATCTCTAGAAGTTTGTTGAGAAAATTCCTTGTGTTACTTGTCTTAGCGATTAAACTGCCTAGTGGAAACAAGAGCTCAGCTAAATCGTGTGATGCAATCACGATAGCTGCTGTTCATCAGGCATTTACCCTGGACCAAGCGCTGTACTCTGTATGTCATGTGGCTTTTTCTCCACGCTCAGGAGAAGCTTGCAGTGGGCAGTAGTATTATCTCTGTCTTGGAGATGAGTCACACCAGGTTTTGCAGCGGAGAGGACTGTCCTCTTTTTCAGCCCCATACAGGGGAGGAGCAAGGGTGCCTCAGTGAGGGGGATCTGGAGTTGAATCTGGCTGCACTGCTTAGTAACTGTGAAAGACTGGGCAACTTATTTCACGTTTTGGAGTTTCAATGTGCTTACCTGGCAAATGGAGTAACAATGTCTACTTCACAGCTTACTGTGATGATCACATGAGACATAAAGAACTTAGCAAAGTGCTATGTAGATCACAGCAAGTGTTAGCTTTTGGTATCTTTTACATCAAGCATAAGTCTTACTTTTTACATCCGTCTTATTACCCTTTCCCCAGTATTCAGAGTATTTGAGTATATATGTACGGGTGGTAAATGTTGTTTTTCATTGAAAGTTCAGATCCTAACTTTTTTTTTTTTTCATGCAGTAATCCTCAAAAATGTAGATGTCTACCATAATTCAGTCTATTGCTCCAACTGGAGGATGTACAATTGTTTTAGGAATTGAGTATTCTTTTTTTCTTTTCTTCTTTTTTTAAAAAATTCTTTTATTCTTTTCTTCTCCAAATTCAGGCAAAAGATATTAAACACTTTGTTTCAAAAATAGATTAAGTGTGTACGTGTGTGTGTGTTTATGAGAAAGACAGAGAGAGAGAGATGGGAGCGGGTGAGAATACACAGTAAGCGCTTGGCACGTATTCTTTGTGTGAAATGTTAAAAAATTGTTCACGGTGGCTGGGTGCGGTTGCTCACACCTATAATTCCAGCATTTTGGGAGGCCGAGGTGGGTGGATCACAAGGTCAGAAGTTCAAGACCAGCCTGGCTAAGATGGTGAAACCCATCTCTACTAAAAATACAAAAGTTAGCCGGGTGTAGTGGCAGGCACCTGTAATCCTAGCTACTTGGGAGCCTGAGGCAGAGAATTGC